TTTCATTTCACTCAAACTTCACTTCCTATCAGGAAAGCTAAGGCTTATAGTGATTAATATGTTTGTTTGAGTTTTAGCACAGAAGTTGTGAACATTAAGCCTCGAAATAAATAGTAGGTAGAAAATTTTGCGATGTAAGCACAGCCTTAATGACCCAGCCCTCGCCTCTCCATTGCTATCAGTTTTTGTAAGAGAGGATGTGATATCTGTTTCCTATGAAACGACGGAAAAACGTGGGAAGGAAGTTAATAATACAAGAAAATTCCATAGCTGAACTATGTGAATGAATGTTAGATACCAAATCAACGCATGGAAACGCATTGCGCGTCACTAAAAGCCAAGATTTCCTAGAATTGCGTTGGATTAAATTTACCAAAAATAGCCATTTATTCCCCCATCAAGCTGGTGAGAACGGCAGATAAATGGCATTTGCACCATGAAAAAGCACTCATTACCATACCATGTGCAGCTACGTCACTAGTACGAAGCAGTTGGTAGATGTCAAATATCATAGAGAATTAGCTTTTTTTCAAAAAGATGAAGTGAATCATAGAACTAATTGTGAGTGCCAAATTTTTAAAGAACTCTGCTAAGCATTCATCGTCCCATGATATCAAAGCAAGGGTCACAAGAATTGCGTAGGATAAGTTAACCACAGTCAATACCCAACCCTCTTGAGGGACAAATGGTCGTTTTTTTTTTTGAACAAATTATGTTTGCGAAAAGCAGTGGTACTGACGCAATGTTCATTCAATTCATTTACGTAAGTGTGATTATTACATTATGTATTACACGACTAAACGAAACGTAAGCCTGTATACGCTTGTATTATACATACAAAAAATCATTGCAGCTCTATAGATTAAAATTTGAAAATTACGGGTTTTTCAACCTTTTTTAGTCTAAGATATTGGCAACCAATAAAAATATGGGAGTTAGTACGCCTTTCAATAAACTTTTTTCTAGTTGTCTAAAACTATTGAGCAATGGAATCATAACTACAACAAACACAGAAGTTTGGAACTATATTTACTTGAAAAATTTCATTGTAACTTCATCAAACAGAAATTCAAAATCAGCTTATTTACTTGAGAAGAAATTCATCGATGATGTCTTGATTCACTGATTAGCGGTCGAACACGAAAAATAGAAAACTGTAAGTTACTTGAAACCAATCCACCGTCAATCCAATGTTACTGATTGGCAATTCTCATTTGTGCTCGAATCACAACAATTCCAAAAGTTAATCTACATCATACATCTTCACCCTTGTCCAAATTTACTTTTTACGCTATTAGTATAATATCAATTCTTACAATGCAGCATTTCGAATTAAAAACATGTCTTGCGAATTAATCTCACACTAGTTCAAACTCCGAAACTCAAGTAAGAAAAGACATTCATCGCAGAAGCTTGATTTTCAACATGATTCGAAATATTCTTGATGAGCAATGTCGCTTCGAAAAAGCTATCATAGTTATTAATACCAAGACA